CCACCCGAAAGTCAGCACTGAGATCTTTTAAAATGCAAGCGTCCCTGAGAGAGGGTGTTGGCAGTGACCTCAGAAGCCTCTGCCTCACAGAGTCCAGTGGTGATCAGAACCCCGGCTAAGAACTCCTGCCTCCTGGTGTCCAACTGTTTCTTCCAGCCTTCCTGCTAATGATATTAACAACTGTGGATAAAGAATATCACCAGCAATTTCAGTAAATAAAGATGTTGTGACCATCAAGCTACTGGTCACTGCAGTCACCCTAGACAGTGCAGCCCTAGGGGCTTCCGGATGGGAAAAAAAAAAAAAAACAGGATACTGGCCCTAGATAGCTAACATGCATATCATAGGAATAATTTCAATGAGCCCAGACTCTTGCATCCTCCCAAACATAGAAAAGCACTAAAATCATTAAACTGAGTCTGTTTTTTTAGGATTAGCAGTAATCTTTGATATTGGACTACATGTTTTTTTGGTTTTGTTGCTTTTTTAAGGAAAAGTTCCTGTGTATCCTGGATCCTCACTTAGCCCTTTGGAACAGTTCCTCAGAGCTCTGTGAAAGGCTGGTTCCCAGGCTATGCTCCTCAGTAATGGCCCAAAAAAAACCCCACATCATTCTGAACTTTTAAGTTATGCTTTTTCCCAGTCAACACAGCAATATGCAATACCCAAGTGGCACAGACCACAGTTAGGCACAGTTTAAAACTGTCTGCACATAACCCATTTAATTCTCACAACCTCCCCGTGAGGCAGGAACTCTTTATAACCCCATTTTATAGGAGAGGGTAGGAATGTGACCCATGAGGCTACACAGCTCCTAGGTGATGGAACCAAGATTTGAACCCAAGCAGCGATTCCCACCATGACCCCCTCTATTTTACCCCCCAACACACAACTCATCAGGCTGGGTGCTCAGACCCCTCACACAGGAGTCTACCCTCTGTTCTAACTGCAACTCTCCCCTCACCTACATCTTTATTGGAAATAGAGGGATGGGGCCCAGCAAGCTGATCACCATCTTGGTGGTGACCAGCTTCTCCCCATCCTGGCTGGAGGCCAACCGCACCCCTTGTAGCTTTCTGGGCACCTTTAATCTCTATGATCAATGTGTCAGGACAGTAGGTTCAGAACCCATTATACATGCAACACAGGTTACCCTGAAGTTCCCCTCCAGGACAATCAGTCAATATACCTGCAGTGGTAGTTGCACCTGGAACCAGTGTTGTATGTGAAGATGGGGGAGGATGGGAAGGGCTCACGTCTGGTCTAGAAGAGCCAAGCACCCCTCTTGCAAATAAACACCTCGCCTCCAGCTGACTACCCAGGTGCTGGCAGGCTGGAGGGCTCTTCTCTCAGGTCGTACATTTGGTATCTTCTTGCCAGTTCTACACCTGGACTGAGCCTTGGGAGGGGGCACTTCACGTGCAGGACTTCACCACCACCCCGTGGCAGCAGCTCTGTGAAGTAGGGGCGCTTATCCTCCATTTCATTATCTGCACTGAAGGTTAGAGAGATTAAGTGAATCATCCAAAAATGCACAATGGCGGCAGGAGTTAAATGACCCTCGTCTACTTGCTACCTGTGAGATCATAAGCCCTGTATGATTCTGTTTCATCAGCTGTAGACTGGGGATAACCAATATAGACCTACTTTATATGGTTATGAGGGAAATGTGCAGCTCCATAAATGTCTGCTGTTACTGCCTACACACTGTAGGGGCCAGGATTTGAACCTGAGTCCACCTAGGCAGAACTAGGCTCATCCCTCTGACCGCTGGTAGCACCGCAGCTGAACCTACACTGTTACTACCTTTCTGAAACTTTCCTGGGAGAGAAGTGTGGTCATTGTTCATACGGCAAGCTGACTGATAAGACTTATCCCTTTAAAATAAAATGTGGGCTCCCCTGGGCGCTCAGTGGTAAAGAATCTGCCCATGCAAGAGGCACAGGTTTGATCCTTAGTCTGGGAAGCTTCCACATGCCTCAGAACAACTAAGCCCATGCACCATGACTATTGAGCCTGTGCTCAAGAGCAGGGGAGCCACAACTACAGAGCCCACATGCCACAACTACTAAAGCCCCCACGCCCTAGAGCCTGCGCTCCGCAACAAGAGAAGCCACCGCGATGAGAAGCCCACTCACCACAACTAGAGAAAGGCCCGAGCAGCAGCGAAGACCCAGCATAGCCAAAAATAACTAAGTAAATAACTTTTAAAAAACAAAATGTGGGAGCAAGAGTTTGGGCTTCTGTGTGAATGAGTTGTGTCCCCACAGGGCTACTGGCCCTTTCTCAGGACCAAGACCATAAGGAAAAGCCACGTTCGGCCCACCAAGTTGATGTCCTGTGATGTATCAGTAGCTTCCAGTCAGCACTTACCCTGTGCAGGCACAGTGCCCATGGCTCTGGTTTAATATTCCTGACAGCCCAATGATGGAGAAATCATTGCTCTCTCCACCTTACAGGGGAGGGAACAGGCACAGAAGAGAGCGGGAACCGATTTGAGTCTCCACGGTGGCAAAGCTGAGACACAGGCTATGGGCCTCGCAGTGGGCACAAATTGCACGCACGAGCAGAAAGCCCCAGACGCTTCGCGCAGTCTGCCTGGCTGGCTCCTGGCGGTTTCTGCTCCTCCACCCGCTTCCCACCTGCCTTGACATTGGTCAAGCATTGGTGCTCCTCCTGGTTCTTAGAGCCTGTCCCTGAATGATCCTTCCAGTGGTTTCCAAGCTTCCATAGAAGTGTTTGAAAAGCATATGCCCTTTGGGGTCAGAGCTACCTGGACTCAAGTCCTGGCGCTGGCTCTTATCAGCTATGAGAGCTTGATGGTACATCTTTTAACCTACATGAGCCCTGATCTCCTCATCTGCAAAGAGGGATAAGGAGCGCTCCATGGCACTGTGATGACTTAGAGTGTGAGAACTTGGCTTGGAGGTGCTTCACATAGGACCAGACAGGAGGTCAGCTCTTCACAAGCGTCCCTGCTAGCCTTCCCTGGCCCAGACTCCACCATACAGGCAGCCCTTTCCCCAGATGGTGATGATATGCTCCCCAGGGTAGATAAGGCAGGCACAGGGCCTCTGGGTACTTTTAATAAGGCTGATGAATTCAGAGAGAATGCATGAGAGAAGTTACAGAGTGATTCAAGTCCACCACCTCATTTGAGCACAACTTTATGCCAGGATGGTGACAAGCGCTTCACATATAATGTCTCGTCTAGTCTTCACAACAGTCCAGCAAGGCAGGTTCTATTATTGCAACTTTCTGTAAGGTTGGTCCAGAACTAACAAACACAAAGTGACCTCCTTCATGTCACCTCCTGGTACTTAGCAGGGCCAGAATTTGAACCCAAGTCTACATAACTCATAAACCTACAGTCTTAACTACTCCACTGGGCTATCTCCATCTGCCTGAGCCTAGGACTAAAATTCCACCATTCATTCCTTAGAGAAGAAGTAAGATAAGAGGTGTGCAAATGTTACCCAATACCTGGGACTTAGCAAATCCCCCACCAAAGTTTTGTTGAAAGAGTGGTAGATCTGATGATGTGGACACAGGAGGCTCGTGGGCAGTATTTGAGATTACACCCTCATAAACTGGGGGGGAAAACCATATAATTGTTTTGGTTTTGATGAACTCTGGGCTGCGTGGCTACCTCTGAGGCTGAGACCCAGGGAGCCCACCTGGGCGAAATAATTACTGCCCAGTATCTGCTTTCTGCCCCTCCGGACTCCCACCCAAGCCTCTGCTCAGCAGATTAAGTGCTACAGGTCAAACTATGTGACTGAGGATGGTGTTTGGAATAAGGCTCATTTCTGATGATGAATAAAAGACCAGCACCTACCTCCGTGGGGAACAAGTCTCATTGCTTCGAGGAAGCAGGATTTCCCATGAGTACATGTGTGCTAAGGCTCTTCAGTCATGTCCCTACGTCCCTAACTCTGCGTGACCCTATGGGCTCTAGCCTGTCAGGCTCTTCTGTCCATGGGGTTCTCCAGGCAAGAATACTGAAGTGTGTTGCCCTGCCCTCATCCAGGGGATCTTCCCAACCCAGGGATCGAACCCAAGTCTCATGTCTCCTGCATTGGCAGGTAGGTCTTTACCACTGGCGCCAACTGGGAAGCCCAGGGTCTCTCATCTATCTGTCCACGAAAAGAAGCATTTTAAAGTTAGTTGGAGTCAATGCACTTTTGTTTTTGGAACCAAGTTAAGTACGGTAGGTACATGAATCTGACTCTCTCAGTGGATTGGAATGTACGATGGGAAAGTGCCTTTAGTCTTTAGAAGGGTATGAGCAAGACGCATTCATTAAGCTTGGATTTAGAGTAGATTCCAACACATCATAGCTCTGACATGTATCAATTACCACATACAAAGTCAAATGCAATGTTAAATCCAAAACCACAGAAGAAAGTGTTGAGTTCCCAAGAAAAGGATGAAAACTTAACAATGTAACACTTTAGGGTATATCAGCATGAAATCAGCACTGCTTCACAGTAACCACAGAGGCCCCTTCCCATGTACATAGAGAGAATCACAGGAGCTTTTGAGATTATCCAATATTTTAATGGCTTTAAAGATTTTCTGAATCAAAACGAAATCCCTCTATCCCTCATTCCACCCTTTTTTCTTTAGATCAAGATTAAATCAATTCTTATTTTCAAGGTAGAACTGTAAGAGTCCATATTCTTTAAACCCTGATTAATGACATTAGATCATTCACTAATTTTGGCTATAGGCTCTTCTTTCAGTCTTGTACACAAAATTCCACAGATTTCACACTGAGTGACAGACCTTCTTCAGATGCTCTTCAAACCAGTCAAATTTGATGTTCTCAAGAACATAAAATCTAACATTGCATTGTCTGTCAATGAAATACGGAGTGGAAGCTGTGGACCCGATGAAGACCTGTTGTTTTCCTTCCCACACTGAACACCCAGAAGCCATGTAATTTGTGTTTGGAAAGCTGGACGGGAAAAATGACGCTGTGTCTCAGCCTGAGACTCTCAGCAGTAGAGATGAGAAAGGAGGGAAAGGGAAAGCAGGATGACTTCCACCGCGGACTGCACGGCGCTGCCGCCTCCCTTGGTGGTGGCCTTCGTCGTCGTGGCCTTGCTGGGGGCGACAGTGGCGGCGCTTCCCCCGCTGGGTGTGGAGACCGGCTGTGAATGCATCTGCTGGATCAGCAGCAGGGACAGAAGCAGCACCCCCAGCAGGAGCCTGCTCAACACCCCTCCTCCCATGTCGGCTCTGTGCTCAGCGCTCCGCAGGCTGAAGGACTCTGAGCTCCAGGCGGCGGCGGCAGAAGTAGCAAGCGCGATCTCCGATCCCAGAGCGACCCAAGGGCCTTTTATACACCGGAGAGACACGGGAGGCGCCGTCTCCGCTCGCCGCCTACAGTCCGAAGGCGCGCGCTCCCTCCTGCCCGCCCTCCAGCCCTCACCTGCACTCTCTTCCTTCCTCCTGATACTTTGCTTTTCAAACCAAATATTTGTAAGCTATTAGAGCGCCTCGGCGCCCTTACTTGGAGAGCTAACGTTCCTATTGTCTCTCGTCCAAGTGGTATTACATTTTTCGTGATCCCTAAAAGTGATGCCTGTTTGTTGTTCAAAGTTGGTAGTGCAGGCTATGACAAGAGGTTTATACCCCAAGATAATCATGTTGATGTTTGGTATGTTTCTATTTAGCACATATACATGTCTTGCACTTAATGGAGATTTTGGATCTAGAACTTTTGCTTAAAATTTTTTTTTCTTTTTCTTTTTTTTTTTTTGGAGGGGAACTGTCTTGTGCTATCCTACTTCCCTGACCAGGGATAGAAGCAGGATCTACCCACAGTAAAAGCAGCTGAGTCCTAACCACTGGACCTCCAGCGACTTCCCACTTAACATTTATCAGGAGCATTTTCCTGCCATTAAAATCTTTTTTGGAACCATGATTTAATTTGTTTTCTTAAAAGATTGCACATCAAGCTATGTGTTCAGAGTTTTACCCTCAACTTATTTCATTTTTATTCTTCTGGATTTGTAGAGAAGAAAGAAAATATGCCATGATGTTAGGTTTGGCTGTTCTAGGTGATAAGATTTTTGTATTTTCCAACTTCCCTACACTGATGAAATCTTTGGAAGTTGAACTAGTTGTTTTTGCTTTTGTTTTTGGCCAGTGCAGTTGGTAGAATTCAAGCTGGAATAAACCAAAGTGCAAACTGCTTGTTTAAAAAATTTATAGATAGGAAGTTGGCAGTGAAAATGAAAGAATAACAATAGGAAGTTCATGGTTAATCATGGAGTGCTTATAGTCTAAATGGGAACTGATTCTCTTTGAAGGACTCGAATCGGGTAAAAATAATACATTTGCTGATGTTTGAAATTGGGGATATAACTTATAACATGACATTTAATAGAAGTTTTTAAAACCTTTGACTTAAATTCCTTTTCAGCTTGAAGAGAAACTTTAAGGCTTTCAATATCCTTTGTCCTTTTTTCCAAGAGTAAAAATATTTTCTTTACATTCCAGATTAAAACATACTTGGGGCAGGGGCGGGGGGGTTCCTAAGCCACTGCTTCCTGCCTCTTCAGGAGTCCAATTCCTTTTTCTGAATCTTCAGTGGAAAGAATTCTCTTTGGTTTTGCCATTTGAAAGTCAAGCCATAAACACTGGATTCCCACTAGCTTACTCATCTTTGCAGAAAGCGATATGGAGGTAGTGTCAAAGATGCAGAAAGCTGGAGAGACCACCACTCCCCCACAGCTGTCTCTGTCCACTTTAGTCCATGGTCGAACAAGAGTTGAGCGCAATGAAGTGACTTAGGGCATTTCAAGGACAAAGCCTCTCACACATAAACCTTTTCTCAGAACTCCCTTTGACAGTTTTTAACAAACACATAAAATCCAGTTGTGTAGGCTTTTCCAACAACACAGTAGGGAGCCATTATGTATGTTTTGGTCAACGCAGAACCTTGTGTTTTTGCTTTTCTGCTTCAGCCAAACAGAGGGTCTTCTGTAATGTTGCCTGGAGCTTCCCCCACACACTCATGCATTTACCACTTCTCTGCTCAGATTCCATCGCCACAATGCGGAGTGTCTACCATTGTTGCCTGTTGCCCAATGATAGAAACTTATTGCTCTGCTTATGGAATTCCTATTTTCAGAAACAGAAGCTAAACATGCCAGAGGCTCTCCTTTCTAATCTCCTTCCCACCTTGGATGTCATCCTATGATGATCCTGTGTGATCAAATGCACTCCAGCACACACTTTGGAAAGAAAGCTTCCTCGAAACTGACCAGAGTGAGTTTGTGAAATGACAACCCTGGCTGGTAGCTTACAGTTTTGCCTCTTCAAATTTCCGTACCTTTTAAGCCTGAGTTAAAACGTTGCCTCCAATACTTTGGCCACCTCATGCGAAGAGTTGACTCATTGGAAAAGACCCTGATGCTGGGAGGGATTGGGGGCAGGAGGAGAAGGGGACGACAGAGGATGAGATGGCTGGATGGCATCACCGACTCGATGGACATGAGTTTAAGTAAACTCCGGGAGTTGGTGATGGACAGGGAGGCCTGGAGTGCTGCGATTCATGGGATCACAAAGAGTCAGACATGACTGAGCGACTGAACTGAACTGAACTGAACGGAAAATGTTGCTACCCCAGGGAAGCCTTCTCTGCTTCCTACAGCCAGAAATTCTCTCTCCTTCTAGTTTGCCCATGAATTTTATTTTATAGCCTTGAAGCTCCCTGAGAATAGTAACTACATAGTTATCTCCTAGAATAACAGTTAAGAGTATGGACTTAGGGACTATTTATTGCCCGAGGGCAAGTTCCAGCTTTGCCACTAACTTGCTGTGTGACCTTGGGCAAGTTACTAAACCTCTCTGGGTCTCATCTATAAAACAGGGTGATATCAGCTCATACCTCACAGGACTGCTGTGAGAATGATCACATGTATCCATGAAAAGCACTGAGGACAAAGCCTGGCCCGTCATATACTGTGCGATTGTTTCTATCACCTCTGCTCACATGCCCACCACGGTCACCTGTGGTCTCCAGACCTGTGAAGACTCACTTCATTGTGAGTGCAGAGTGGCCCTTTGAGGACATGTCTGTCATTCCTGCTGGTGGCACACAGAGCAATTGACCAGGGTTTATGGTCAGCTTTCCCACAGGTCCCATGCCCTCTGACCAGTGTGGGTGCCATGCCCTTCACTGGCACCAAGTCCTCTTAGTCTCCCCAAGGCCATTGGTGTTCACCCACTTCCTGCCATCTCCACCACAGCTGCCCTGCTCTCATCTGCACCCGAACCACCGCAGACACCTCTTGACTGATCCTTGTGTGCCTGTTTTCAGGTGCTTTGAAAGACCCTACTAAGGGAAGAGACACACCAGTTGTCCTGTCTTCGGTTCCTTCAAGGCCAGAGCTATGAGCTCTTTAATAAGGGCCCACATGGGCCTCGGGCTGGACTAACACCACTTGGTTATGAATCACTCATCCCCTTCAAAGGCTCCCATGTCCTCAGCAAACATGACTGATAAGATCAGAGCCTCCAGCACCTCCCACGGGCTCCTGTCCACAAAAGTAGATGTGGGGAAGATGGGGGGAGGAAATCAGGGTGAGCCCAAGCCTGCAGGGAAGGCCCAGGGCAGGAGGCAAGCGGAGCATGGGTCCCTGCAGCCTTGGGCCAGGCATCTTGTGACCATAACAGAGATTTAGGAAGATGCGTCTTTTCCAGCTGTGACAATGCCCATGGAGGGGCATGTACGCCCTGGAGGCAGTGTTTTTGGTGGTCCAAGGGACCAACCAGCTGAGCCCAGGGACTGATCCAGACAGGTCTGGGTTTGAATCCAGCTCTGCCATCTCCAGGCAGGTGGGGTGTTCTGGTGAGTCTCCTCTGAGCCTCAGTTTCCACACCCAGGTCAATGCAAAAGTGGGGCCTTGAAAGCCAAGCTCAAGGTTGGCGTCTTTGCTTTCAGAGCAGCGGGGCCTCTGTGGTGCTTTAACCAGCTGGGGAACAGAAGGTCTGCCTTTCAAACAGATCACCAGGACCTTTACCTCAGCCTCTCTGTGGATTGTGAGGACAAAATGGTAAAATGCTGCTGAAAAGCTTAAATGGCTCAGCAGCATCCCAGGGTGGAGGTGAGTGGATGGATGCCCTCCCTGCCCCATCTATCAGGGCAGCAGTCCCTCCCAGGTACCAGCATTGCACCCAACACTTCACCCACATCTCCTCACTGCGTCTCCACAGCCCCAGCAAGATGGATATTGATACCACCCCATTTCAAAGGAGGAGAAATTGAGGCTTAAAGGAATCCCAGAATGGGAAGGACCTTAGAGAAGTGCCCTCTGGGCCCATGTTCATTTCACAGAGGAGAAAACTAAAGCTTGGGTGGGTTATTGATCTACCTGTTTACCTCAGAATCCTAGAGTGGGAAGGATCAGAGACCTGGCTCTAGACCAATACCCATTTCACAGAGGGGGAAACTGAGGCCCAGAGATGGGCAATGGCTTGCTGGGAAAGAACTGTCCTAATCAAATGATGAAATGGCTTATCTCAGCAAAGCCCTGATATGGTACCTAGTACATACCTGAGGGTCCATGAATGGGTTTTCCCTCTGGTTCCCTAGCCTCTCCAAGGTCAGTGGCACTGGTTCCAGCTGGTGAGCATCCTTTGGGCATCATCAGGACATCACTGAAATGTGTATGGATGATGCAGGCAGTCAGCCCTCCCAGCTCTGTGTGGCCCCATCCCTCTGAGCCCGCTGTCTGCCCAGGCTGTGATCTGCAAGCCTCTGGCTGATGTACAGCTGGGGCTGAGGCCATCCTCCACTGATTCCCAGTGCTCAGGTGTCTCCTGAGGTCTCTGGGGGCAGAATTCAGGGACCCAGATCCTGGGGAGGGGCAATTGCCAATGGCAGAGGGAGGGATGGGGCCAGGCCCGGGGCAAGGAGAGCTTCCACTCTTCCAGGCTGCAGAGGGGCCTGGGGTTTCCCACAGTCACCAGGGATCCGGAGAAGGGAGCAGGGTGGGAAGGGCCTGGGAGCCAGGTCACGAGGGTCAGGTTGGAGGAGCAGTGAGAAGCTGCTGAGGAAGGACTTCTAGGAGCTTTCCGGGTGGGCCTGGGGAACTGGCTGGGAGCCAGGGAGGACTCCCAGAGGCTCATTGGCACCAAGGGTCTCTGGAGCTTTGAAGGCATTCTCCCTGCCCATCTCTGCTTGCTCACAGGCCCAGGGAGTGCCCGTCCTCTGCTCCCT